CAAGAGATCAACACAGCAATGAATATAGCAATTCTTCAAGATCAGCAGCAACTACTTCATGAACATTATGCATTGGTCAGGCTGTTCAAGACTGCGTTTACCTAAAATTTAATATAACATTCATTGACTGTTACGCGGCACGAAGTTCGCGAGGTCACCTAGTATAAAAATAAAAGAGTGTTGACCACTGCTCATTTAGCATTTACTAGTGATGTATATTTATAAAAAAAAACAGTTTTATAAAATTCAACCGCGAATTTGTTTGAAATTTTCTTGTCATATGTTTACTGGTTTAGGCAGTGATGCCAAATTATTCTGAAGTACTTCTCTTGAAGCATTCACGTCAAAAGAATACATATAAAGTTAGGTTTTATTCGCAAAAACTTTTACATCTTAAGTTTTAGTGCAGGCAAGTTCAAAAATCAGTCTATTGTGAATTTCTTCTGGAAACATGTTCAAAATTTTAGTCATCCATTACTAATAAGTTCAAATACATTAATAAATTAATTAATTTAAATATATGTACAAGACAAAACTGTTTCCGTTGTCCTTCTAAGATTCATTTTAATTTCTTTTATTTAAATTAAATTAATTAGTTTTTAGTATTCACAATTTTTCGCCAATTTGTTTCAACCAGACTTAATGTTATTTTTTTACAACTCTGAAAGAAAAACTTGTGGCTATTATTTTAATTGCTAGAACCTATTTAATACAAATATTAAATCATTTAAATTAAAAAATATATTATATAATAAATAAATATAAATATATATAAAGAAAAATAAAGAAATATAATTCAAATATTATTTAGAAAGTAAAGATAAATATAATACAAATATTAATATAAATATTTCAAAATAAAAATTTATTTGGTAAATAAAAAAATATTATAAATTATTAATATATATATATAATTTTGATTTTTAGCATTAGATTACTTAAATTTATATAAGAATTTCTGGATTTAGTAAAATTAATTCTGATATTTATTAATATTATTAATAATTAATCTATAGCTAATATTAAAGTTCAGGATAAATTTTAAAAGTGATATAAGAATTAATTAATTTAATAAGAATAATAATTTTTTAAATTAAAAAAAATATTTTTAAAAAATTTAAAATATAAATAATATAAATAAACTTAAACTTCATTTTGAACATTAATCTGATAAAAATTATATAAAAACTTATTCATTTGATAAAATTTTATAAACAAAGTAATATTATAAATAGTTAACATATACTTATTTTTAATTTTTAGCATACATTCTTAAAATTAGGAAATTATTAAATTGAAATATGATAGTTTTAATTTATTTTGCATTTATATATCGTACACATACAGTGCTGTACAAAAGTTTGAGACCACATACATATTTTCCAGTATACCAATTCTAAAGTGAAGTAGCACAAGGTAAGGAAATATTTTAATTAAACATATTAGTTATTCAAATAAAATATACAAAGTTAAATTAAAATATCTTAAATTTAATTATTTAATTTGTATTATGTCAAAATATATTAAATATAAAACACAACTATATACAAATTTAAGACCACTTATCCTTATAAATAGCATTATTCAGCCTTAATACAACTTTGAATTCTACCTGATATTGATAAAGACGAATTATGAAGAGTATGTATCGATTTATTTCTTTACTCTTCCATATAATTCGTTTAGCTCAATTACTGTTTTGCCATACTTTTTTTCTACTTGAAGTTATAAATCAAATTGAATCAAAAATCTATAAAAAATATATGTAGGGCAATTCTTCAAAACTTCGGAGAGGCACTATAAATACAGACTTCATCACAACACAAACCAATATATTAAAATTAGACAGGTGGTCGTGATAGATAAGGCTATTTACATTAATCACAATTTAAAGCATATGAAAATTGTAAGTATGTGTACACATACAAACTATATATATTTTTTTAAATTTATAATTCTAAGGTACTTTAAATTATTATTGCCTTAAATAAAGTACAACTTAAAACCAAATTTTGTATAATTTTAATATATGGAATTAATTCTTATAATACAGCATATCCATTTAAGTCATCCAATATTTTTTGTCCTTATTAGATTGATATAGTTTTTAAAATCTTTAAATTTGTCTTGCGATTAGCTTTTTATAAGGTGTTAATTTTAATTTGATTTATAACGTGGAGAAACAGGAAAATTCCAAATTATATTGAGTTAAATATGTAGAAGAGTAAACAAATATATCCATTAATGCTTTCCATAATTCGTGTTTATCAGCACCAAGTTGAAGTTAAAGTTGCGTTAAAGCTCAAAGATATTTTAAAGGCTTAATTGGTTTGATACTTTTACATTATTACTAAGCTTTCAGAGTTGTAGAAGTCATTTATACTATTCAATATTATCCAGTTATAAATTATGTTAAGTTGCCTTTGAAATTTATATATAAACATACTTATGTTTGCACTTATCTCTTATTTACAATTTGTTCATAAAATCATTCATATTTTTTTAATATATATTGATTCTGTTTGTCGTTACTATTTATATTTTTTATTTTAATCCGTTTTTTTATTTATAATTATTTAACATGTACTTTCCTTCCGAAATAACTAATTTTCTATAACCTTTTCTAACCTTACTGTTACTATTTATTCTCATCTTCATGTTCTTCAGAAAGATGACCATTCTTCTGAAACTGCGATCTAATATTAATTTTTTAACATTTGTATTTAAAAAATCCACCATAAAATTTTTGCTAGTTGGAAATTATAGACATTGTGACAACAATCATTAACTATACTTTAATAATAAAAAAGCTGTCAGTGTTTAATAAAGTCTTGCAGTTACTTATCGCCAAAAAGATACTCTTTGCAGAACAATTTTTTTTCCAAAAAAAGATTTATTCAAAACAAAGTCCGGTTTGGAATTATGCTGGTTAAAGCAATAACCAATAATTTGGACTGTTAACACGGGCCTAACCGGCACTTAAATGTCATGTTGATAAGATAATTCTATTAATTATTGCAACAAATCTTTCTGGCAGTTAAGTGTATATGTAAAATTGAATGTATACGGGTTCCACTTATGTCCAAGGACACCTATCTCTTACGGTGTGTAGCATGCCAAACCATCCTAATAACTTCTTGTACTGCATCGATGTTTTCTGGTCACAGCCATACTTGGACGACTTTCACGAAATTCTTCGTGGAGAAAACGACGATTCTGGACTCATTGAACCAACGTTTTACAGTCGCTGCATGTAGTGTTCTTTCATCAAATGTCGAACTAAGTTGATCGTGATCAATGCATTCTTTTCCGTTCATTTCGCGTTAAAAATCATAAAAAATCACTACACGTAAATGTTCATTATTTAATTTGATTTTTTCGCAGACACCTAATTTAGAATCTGAAACAGAGACTAAAACATTATAATAACATTTCTGCTTAAAAATGTCAAACTTTCAAATAAAAATGTCATAATTTATCTGGCAATACTTAGTATTGCCTGGGCGCAAGACTTAAAAGGCGGACCACATGCTTGTAATATACTGTGTAGTTTTAAAAGTTAAAATAATCTAAAAGGCCCACTTAACAGCTATATGTTTTTAGTTACCCGATTTTAATAATCACAAAAACAGCTTTTAGTATTTTATAGTATTTTAATGCAAATTCACAAACTAATCAGATATAACAGCAGAGTGGTGTATTAAGATGGATGCTGATACAATGCTAGATTTATGACAGACATTTGATTGGTGTGGTATTGTATAAAAGCCTTTTTTTAGCGAATGACTAAAATTTTCTCACATTCTTATCACATTCTGTTCTGATCCATACACAAACGAATTTACAAAACTCTATGAACTATGAATCAGGATATGTCCAGGTATCAATGTTTTATCTTTTTACATACACCAAGCCAAAGAAATATAACGAGTACATAACCCATACATTGTACCGGCGAAACTCTAGAGGGATCTTAACAATATTGTCATGTGGGTCTTTTATCCAAATGTGACTTAGTCCGTCTAAGTCATATCCACGACTAGACCTAAAAATCTGACTATTCGTCTTAAATAATACTGAACAATTACTTTAGTTTAATAATTCTTTTAAAATAATTTACTAGAGGTAAGAAAAAATTTTATTAAATTTAAAACCTGTCTAATCTTCGTTTAAAATTTAATAGTTTAGTTTATACTTAGCGACTTTTTATTGAGTAGAAAATATTTTCAGCAAAAGTTAATTAAGATTTAATCAGTTTGATTTAAAAAAAAATATTCTTTAAGTCAATTTTAGACTAAATTAAGTCAAAAATTCTGAATTAAAGATGTGGAATTATGGTACTTCACTATAATCTCTCTTTTTATATTTACTTCTCTTCAGAAATGTATGTGGATTCGCGATTATTGGAACACGTACACATTCTCTTCAAAGGGTTAATAATTCAAAGTTAGGCTTGCATTCAATGCAAGATTTTGGTGCTTTCATAAATTAATGATAAAATAATAAATATAAATAGTTGAGCATCTGCCTGAATGGTAGATTAGCATAAAGAGCTCGCATTTTCATCACTGCTTCAGATCTCAAATCACGAAATATATTGTGGTTTCTCAATCTAAATTTCAAAGCAAAGAGTACAGCTGTCGAAAGTTTGTGACATGAGACAAATCTATGTGTGTATATACATAAATATGTCCTGATCGATGTTAGATATTACTTCTAATAAATGTTCGATTACTATTTTGAACTTTACTGATTCCGAATATATGGCTATACACTAAACATAAAAACTTATACTAAGATACAAGTTTGTTACTCTGAACTAATATTTAAATCTTCAATTTAAATTTTTAACCAAAGTAAGAAAGTAAAAGTACTATATTCTTATTCATAGATCTCTAATTCTGACCAAGATCGTTACTTTGTAATAACGATTACTTTCAAGTGCCTGAAAAAATATCTAGGATCCTAAACGATAATAAATGAAAAAAAAATTTAACGCTTTTATTTTATTTATTTAAATTTTTAAATGTTTAAATTAACACAAAAATTAACTTATTGATGAGCACAGAGCAAAAGGCACTTACAGGTATTTTGGTTTATAAATTAGGTTGAGTATTTACACGTAAAATGTAGCTTAGATTATGAATAGCATAAATAGTCATTTGATATGAAGATTGTTAAGGACTCGGACTTGTTATATAAATTTCGATTTTAACAATTATTGAAATATTTGTATTAATTATAAAAGATTTGGTTAAAATGCAAAGAAAATTGTAGACTAAAAGAGAGAAGTCTTCTAAATATAATTTAATGCAAATGAAATGAGTTTGTAAGACTTCTAAGACAATGTTCCATTGCTATTCTTAACTCAAGTGATGATGACGCCACCAGTTTGAATTGCGAGAGGTAACATAGTTCTTTAGGCCTTCTTTGTCCTGCAATGGAAATAGATGTGGTCCATTGGTTTCGTAACTAAGTCCATTATGCTGATTGAAGACATAAGCACTTGGTATGGTCTTCTCGCCGTAATCAATATTTGAAGACGGTGGCAAATATGAACGCGTGCCTATAATTACAGGTGTAGTAACTGTGTTTTTAGTGATGTCGCTGACGTATTGTTTATACACAGGACGTTGCTTTGGAATAACAACAGTAGGTTGAGGTACATAGCCATTATTACGTATATCGCAAACGGTGTTTTCCACAAGTGAACTCAACGGTGCATTATATATGCGGTAGTTGACATCCTTATAATCCAAATCAGATAGAAGAAATACTGGCATACGATCAGACAGCACCCAAACATTTTTATTCTCATCAATTTTTACGTCAGCTGGAAAGACTAAGCCCACATCATCACGATCAACAATACCGTGATATTCTGGTGCGTATGGCATCGACGAATGCCAGCAACCAACTGCATTTTGGTCAATCAAATTAAAGAGTTCTATGCCATCATCACTCATGACACGTGCAGTTGTGTGTGCATTTGGACCGCGCTCATCCATTAGCATAAAATCATGATAACTGTCTTCAACACGATTCTCATCACGCAAGATGCGTGTCGATACCGCGAATTGACGATGACTGGCCAATGGACTGAAATATAATGTACGATAACCATCTGAACGTATGGGCGATAAGGCCATGCCGAAAATGCCTTCTTCACCCCATTGGAAATTGAGACCAGCAATATTATAGTCACCACGTAGAGGATCCGGGAAAAAGTAAGAATGACCTGAGAAACGCCAAGATTTGTTTTGTTCCCATGAATATGTAACCAAACCGTAACCAAGTTCATCTGAAAAATAGGCAAAAGCGTCGTCACAATTCTTTCCAATATCTACAGCTATGTTGGCGATAAAAGTATTCGCATTCGTGTCTTCTGGGCGTAATTCATACCGACGTATGCGTGAATTTGTAGTCAAGTCAAATACATTCACCGCATATGGACAGGGATTAGTGGTAGTATTACCAATACCAACAGTGCCAGTATCCAAAACCCACAAACGACCGCACTCATCGACTTTAATGCGATAAGCTGTTGTAATACTATTAGCACAATCGCCAGCTGTGTTGCTGCGCCAGTCAGGGTACGGTATGAGTTCAGGTGAACCAGTGACGCTGTGGTCCATGTTGATGTAAGTTAAAGTTGCCGGTATGCCTGCAAAAAAACAAACACAGTTGGAATTAATAACTTGTTTACTAAAAGAACTTGGAGTTTAAATTTGATATTTGTTTTTCAATGAAATCTAGCAAATATTAAAAAATAATTTAATTAACTGAAGTTGCACACATTTAATTAATAAATGTGTACTTTTTCATTAGTAAATTATATATTAAAAAAGTTAAAAATACTAACGAAATATTTAATGGTACAGGTTTTCTGAGGAGTTGCTCTAGGCGAATGCAGTTGCGAAATTTCTGCACTAAAATTCCAGAGTTTTTCAATGATCATTTAAAAGTTACTCATATTTAATTATGTTGTTGATTGTGCAGTTTTTGCGACATTTAAGTGTCACAAAAAAATATTAAGAAACTTTATGTTAAAATATTAGAGCCTTTCACTATGTCGTTGGTTTAATCGTCACAAGTTTTTATGTTATACCAAAAACAATACTACTTTTCAGCACTCACTGCTACCAGGCAAACTTCCAAACAACAATTTGGAGTGCAGATCAGGCTCAGATAACATATTTTTGTATCAGTGACACCAACATTCAACTTACATTCAACCTCTTGGAATTGAAGTTGAAACCATATCGAAATGTAGTTAGACAAAGCAAGCGATCTGCACAAGATTGTGGCCAGACGCATTTCACAATAAAATGTTCACTGCCAGAAACATTGAAAGTTGCTTTAGCGAACACTTGAAGGACCTATGAATAGCCCAAGAAATATTGAAAATTTAATAAAAATATATTTTTTTTTGAATTTGTTGTGAAATTTGCTATAAGATTTGCTTAGATTTGTTAATGGAAACAAAACGAGTGGACAAGTTGTTGACAATAGTTTTATTATTTTAGTTTTAAATAAATGAGTTTTTTAAACAAATGGAGTACTGACACAGGTTAAAACTTGAAACCAAAATCGATGGATTAAACTTGTAGATAAAGTAGTTCAATTAATTTTATTTTAATGCAAAATAAAACGCAAGTCTGTTCAAAGACCGCGAGCGATTTTTCGTGCGAAAAGTGCATATATTATTATGTATTAATTTGTGTAGCTTGATATCACATATGCAATAACTCATTGGGATAGAAAGTTAAAACCAATGTTAATAGGGACAGAAAAAGTCGTCCGACTACTAATAATTGTTTCCTGACATAACACTGAACAACTTTGGAGTGTGCCTCATCTGTATCTGGTGCTAAGTTGACCAGTTGAGATTGTGATAATGTTTATGTTTGAAAGTTGACAGATAATGTTAAAATAGTTTAACATAACTACTGCAAAAACATGACAATAGCAAGGACGTTGTATATTAATAAAGCATTGATTAAAATCTCTTTTACTGTCTCTGTCGCTACCACATTTGCTAAACTGTGCAATATAGTATACATATTTGTAGATAGAAAAATATGTAAAATAATGAATCCATCAATATCAATTTTAAAAGGACTTCATAATAAGTGGGATGCTTTAGCTCAATGTACACCTGCGGCTTTTCCATAGCTAAGCAACGCAAATAAACATAATAAATAATTTACATTTTTATTTAGCAATATTAAAAGATAAATTATAAAGTTAATAGAAGTCATTACTTTATTAACAAAAAATGATCATTGCATTAGTTGAAAAATCGTCTCAAACAATAAAAATATAACAACCGTGGATATACCGCTTTTCCAACCTAACGAATATACTGCCGCTTGAAAATATTTCTTCTTAAAAATCTCTTTTTAACTTTTGAATATACTTCCTAATGCACTTTTAAAAATAACTTGTGCTCTACCATGAACGAAAGATAATTATATCTCAAACACCTTAAAACAGATTTGCAGTTTTACAAAGTTTTACAAGTTGGTAGGTTGATTATACGGGCTGGTCAGCAGATATTCTTCCGCTACTCATACATAGTGTTTATTTCATCACCAAATTACTTCTAAGAAACCTAATGAGATGAAAACTAGATCCATCCCGTTTAATTTAGATCATAGATAGCGTGTCTTTCGTCCTTTCAGATTAAACCATCAAAAGTGTACTCCCCTCAAAAGCTGTTTCTTCTGGAAATCAAAGCTAAGCACTTGCATATGAAATGCATAATTGTTTCTTTGAGAAATAAAAGGAATGCAGATTTTCTTTTGCCGGAATCTGAAGAATCCGTGTCGATTCCTCTACAGCAGTGACCAGAAAGGACTGTAATATACGTTACAGCATTTACGGGGTCACTGGTAATAAATTCCAGGCTCATTAATATCTTGTTGAAAGATATATACAGTTTAATACATACAATATTTAAAATAAATATTTATATTTATTTTAAAGTCATTAAAAAAAAAGATTATGTTACTAGCAAATTGAACTAATAAGTGCTCACAGAATCAAGCTTATCAGAGCTACTACAACACTAAAACAGTAAATTACCTTAAAAAATGCACCTATTTTTTGTTTTTTTAATTAATTATAGTTTTAAGAGAGTAAAGTTATATATAAGAATCGGACACAATTCCGATTTCCTGGGTATGAACATTTGGCGATGGATTTAAATAATGACAGTTATTTTAACCAACTCCTTCTAATACAGTATATATGAATATAGTTCGGTTTTCGGGATATTATAAGTAGGCGTAGTAGAAAAAGTTGATGCAATTAAAAGTTCATTCAAAAATGTTGATTCTACTGAAATATATTGTCAAATCGGTGTAGTAGAAATCAAAGTTGATTAAAAATGAATTAAAGAAGAAAGTTAATTTTTACTCATATAATGGAACGATGAACTAACAACCAATTCTTTATCTAAATCTTTTTTTAAACTTTATATTGATTATTAAAAAGTAGATAAAAAAGTGCGAAAACTGGAAAGCAGATAAAATCAATTTATGTGCCATAAAAATATAATAACCATTAAATATTGATATAAAAGCTTCATGCATAGCTTCCATTAAACAAGTTGAAATTTCCATCTGTTACTGGTCCTAAAACCACACCAATCTGTCTAGTTTACACGTTCCGACAATTTGTTCAAAGCAAATTTGTTTGCATTCCAGTGCATATATGAGTTGCAAAAAAGATAAAAATCTGATTTTCCGCTTAAATTGTTTATCCTCTGTTTGGACATTAAAATTTAAATGTATAAACCGAAAACATTTAAAAAAATTTGTTCCAATCAACGAAAAAATTGTTCAGTTGAGCTGGATTGTATTAAATTATGGATTTCATATTACCAATTTTATTTTGAAGTTATTGGTAAGTTGTACTTAATGAAACTTGGAGTAAATTATTAAACGAATTGAGATAAAAATCAGTTGACATTTATTTAGTTTCACTTAACCGTATCTAAATTACCGACTTGTCTATTATGAAATCCCACATATATTAAATATTTTATTATTTTCCAAATAAACATTAAATTTATTATTTACGGAGCGAAGACTTTATACTTCCAGTAGAAGGCTTCAGAAAAGAGCACATACGAGGATTTGTATAAAAATACAATTCAATGTAATAATTAATATCACTTGACATCTTAAAGATATTAAACTTTGTTCCACGAAGTCGTTATAATGATGTTTTCGATTGGTAAATCTGTATTTAATCTAGATTTACTCTCGATCCATCAAATTTTGTTGACCAATCAAATATTCTTAGAGTAATCTAAATTTTTGTAGTAGTGTTATTAGATATTTATATACTTCATTAATTCATATCGGATCAAATTAATTTCAGGTTAATCTTGCTACTCTGGCAAAATATATAGAATGTTATAAGGTAATCTCGAGTGTAATATATTTTGCCTCGATTGAAAAAATTATCTTAAATTTATCACTCAAAAACGTCATAAATTTAGTCCTATGCTTATGGTAGGTCTATATAGTATATATATTTAGTTATATTCGGGTATCGGAAAATTGTGGGCTTATTAAAATTCCAGATATATTCGCACAAATATAAAAAAACATATATATATAATTGTGATGAATGTGTCATATATTAGAATTCATCATATTTGAAACTTTGTCACTAGATAATGTTGATACCCTTGTATCTAACAGCACCAATTCTATTATGTCTATTGAACATTTAATTGAAAAGTCCCATTTTTTGTGAAGACAGTTGTTTAATTCATGAATCGTATAAGAAGTAATATTAATTTGAAATTGTGTAAAATATCTGAGGAAGTACGATATGTGATGCTTTATAACTATAAAAAAGTTAGACTGTTACAAAAAGATGTCAAAAGATTTGTGAGGTTTATGGTGAGGATATACTGAGTAAACGTTGGAACCCGAAATGTTTTGTTCGATTCCGGTTCGGAAATTTCGATATAAAAATTGAACCTAGCACTGGTTAGCCAGTCACTAAAAAAAATCGATTAAATGTTTAGACTGTTGGAGCCAAGCCGACACGCATGTTGTCGGTGATAGCAGAGACATTATACATTAACCTTGTTACAGTTTGGAATTATTTAAAAACTGCAAGTTACGCATAGATGATTGGTATTTGCATATCGCTTGAATTAATGCAAAGAAATTTGATTGACCGAATTACTATCAGTGAAATTCTGCCCAACCGTAACGTAATCGAACCATTTTTGAAGCAAATCACTACGAGCAATAATCGAGCTGTTACGAGCTACTTCAATGATTAATTCGACCCTCTAGAGAGTCATATAAGTATAATTCAGTATAATTCACGATCATATAAGTATAATTCAAACGATAATGATTAAAGGCCACTGACCAAAACTTCAAAGTCGAAATTCACTGCAAACAGGGCAACTTTATGTGTTTGTAGGAAAGGAATTGTCTGTTACGAGCTGCTCCAATAATTAATTGGACCTTCTGCTGATCACAACTCGATTTGTCATATTCCATCATGACAATACCAGGCCACACACATCTTTGATGACATGGAACAAATTGACGAAACTTGGTGGGGAAGTTTTGAGGTCATCCATCATATACTATACACCTAGCACCATCCGACTATCGCTTGTTGCGA